CTGTCAAGCTCACATTTTCCATTTTTTTAAAAATTTCTAGTATCACAAAGAAAAGGCTCAGATAAAAGATGTGATGAAGGCAGCGAAGGTAGTATGATTATAATCTTTATGAACGGCTACTGCTGCTGAATTCATTTTTATTTGAATGGAATGCTTTTCAGGTTACCATCACTTCATCATGGACATTTGATGACCTTAAGGCTGTCCTTGAAGAGGGTGCTCCTCTTGCACTTTCAGATATAAATTTTAAGGTACTACTTAAAATTGGCCAAAGTTGTCTAAAAGTTTGGAATTGTTTCGTGTGTTTTCTCTTTTAAAATTCTTTTATAAAGACACTTCAATTTTTTTTTTTTTTTTAACTGAAACTTTTCATTAAAAAAAATGAAAAGAGGCTAATGCTCAAAAGATTCAAACTTTTCAAGGGGTGGATACCAAAAAGAGTAAATAAAAGAAAATACAAAGGAAAAATGATGGCTTACCAAATAAGTCATAAACCAAGATAGGAAAAAACAGCGAAGTGCTTGTTTAGAGAACACCGTGATGGGACTTGTGAACTTCTAGATTCAAACTGATTAAACTGATGGAGATACTTCTCGTTGAAGATTCTTTAATTCCTAACCATGCACAAAACTTTCCATTCTGTGTTGTAGCCTTCACTTCAAACAAAATTCTTCTTGTATAAGGTTCTATATCAGGCATTTGCAAGACTAAGACAACCGAAAATGAGAGCTTCATTTGAAGGAAACTTCTAATTTCTGTCGTATTCCATATTGATGACCTTATTCTCAATATAATCTTAAACAAAAAAGATTGACATCACCAAAGCCACTATCTTCCGCAATATAATCTCCAACTATTTTCCTACTCGTACATTTGCATGACCACTCTAATCAAAATAACCACAATCTTCTAACATGTTGGCATTGGAATGGATCAATTTGCACACATTCAGGAAATAACGGCAAAGCGTTAGGTCAATCCTCAAATAAAAAATATATGAGCTAACCCGTTTATCCCTCATCCTTGTGAATTCCAAGAAATTTTCTTCATTGGAAAATAAAGAACAACAATAAAAAAATTAATCTTCCTGACTTGACTCCCTCGGGAACATAAGGGGAAATCTCCCTAAGTGGCAAACCACTCGCCTTGATTAATGAGGAAATTTATCTGGTCTCAAAATATCACTTTCATCTGAAAGGAATGAGATAAAAGGAAGCTTCAAACATGTGGTTCTACTTTAAGAAATTTGCTGGAGTTGTCGAAAAATTTGGAACTGCTCTTGTTCTCTTTCAAAATTCTTTTATAAATATTAATTTGACTGTATATGCTTAATTTGTTCTGCAGCGCCAATCTGTATGATGATTTTTTTTTTCTTAGTGTAGTTTCAATCTTTCATTTTTTTTCTGAAATACAATTTGGATTTTGGCTTTGTATGTTGGGGTAATTAAGATGCTCAGAATCTGAAGATAGAGATATTTATTCTGTATCTTGAGTAATTGAATAATCTTAGTTTCTGATTACTTGGTCCTCTGAAGACTATGGATATATTCGTGTTCTTTCACAATTATGTCTTTTATTATTGTTTAGGATGCAATATGTTATCCCATAAATTTCTGGTTGTTTTTTACTAAGGAAAATAGAAATTGGCCAGCCTGGAAAGCTGAAGGCCTAGCCCGTCGTCTGTGAATTGATTCTTACTCCCAATTTCCTAATGTCTACGCTTATAAATCCTCCTCTATGAAAAACTTCATTGCCTTGTCTGTATCTTTAATTTTGTATCCTTTGATTTGTTATCAACATGATACGTGTTTTGAGACATTAATAACATCCTACTCTGTTGAAGCTTGTATATGAGGATTTACTAGAAAGAGCCAAAGCAAAGGAGGAGAAAGAAGCCAAAAGGCGTCAACGTTTGGCTGATGACTTCTCAAGACTGCTTCAGTTATTCAAGGTATTTTTAGAACTGTTGATGATGTGTAAGCTCATTTCAGACCGACTGTCTTCTCTAACAGCTAGTTGACCTTCAATGATTGTATCAACACAGGAGATTTCAGCTTCTTCCAACTGGGAGGATAGCAAACAGCTTTTTGAAGAGAGTGAAGACTACAGGTAGTTTATGAAGATGTCGATTATTTATCATAAACGAGTTTTGGGTACTCAACTCTCTGCTTTATTTGACTTTTTTTCTTCTACTGTCACTTAGATCAATTGGGGAAGAGACCTTCGCGAAGGAAGTTTTTGAGGAATACGTAGTGCATTTACAAGAAAAGGCAAAAGAAAAGGAACGCAAGGGTGAGGAGGAGAAGGTGTGTGGCAAATTGCTTTTATGCTTGATTAGTTTGATGATTATACTTTTCAGTCGTTGGGTGAAGAATTATAAGTGGAACGATATTTTAGGCTTTAAGCAACCAACTGATCTGAAAAACTGAATAAACATAGCCCAAACGACCTTTGGTTGGTTTAAGTTCAAATGAAGTGAATTTGTTTGAATTGGTTTAATTTTTGGTTTATATATGCATACACGTCTTTTCCACAATGTTTTTGGTTTATGTACATATGATTTAGGTTTTATTTTTTTCTTAACGAGAAACCAAGTTTTCATAAATCTTAGAAATGGGGATCATTGTTTTTCTTTCTAATGCTATTCTAAATTTCTAACAAAAAAGTATTTTTTTATTATTATTATTATTATTTTGAAGCCAATCCCTCGGTAGTTCAGCTCTTCCGTTGAAATAGATGATTCCTCGATAACATTAACCTAAGTGTAATAAGATACTGTTCGGAATTTTTTTCTCATTCTCAGAAGAGAGCTATTTTGCACAGGCTAAAAAGGAAAAAGAATGCGAGGAAAAGGAGAAAGAGCGAAAGGAGAAGGAAAGAGAACCTGAAAAAGAAAAGGGACGTGTTAAGAAGGATGAAACTGATAGCGAAAATATAGATGCAAACGAAACTCGAGAAAAGAAAAGGGAAAAAAACAAAGACAGGAAACATCGGAAGCGGCATCATAGTGCCACTGATGATGGTGGTTCTAATAAAGATGAGAGAGAGGAGTCTAAGAAGTTTTGCAAACGTGGCAGTGACCGAAAAAAGTCAAGGAAGGCACGTGAATATCCTTGTAGATGCTTGTGACTCTGTTTTGTATAACGTTATTAGAAATTAAATCTCTATGTATGTTTCTTGGCAGCACGCATATTCACCTGAATCAGACAGTGAGAGTAGGCACAGAAGACACAAGAGAGAACATCGAGATGGTTCATGTAGAAATGGCGGACATGATGAACTTGAAGATGGGGAGCTTGGAGAGGATGGGGAAATTCAATAGCCGTCGTTAGCTTTCGATTTCAGGATTTGGCTTCTACGGTTTGCAAGGGCCAACAGTCCAACAGAGCGATCAATGTGATTTTAAGAGGCCAGGGATGGCAACGGCTGGAAAGAATTCTTTTGAAGAGGAGATGAAGGGTGACCCAGTTATCATTCTTCCATTGTCTGTTAGTGGATACATCTGTAGTGTCCTACAGGAGTTAGTGGCGTATATAAACCAGCCATTTTAATTACTTGTGACCTGGTTTTGTAAGTCGCTGCTTCCCTAGTCTACTGTAATTCTGTCGAGAATAATAAATCCACACGCTGCTTATTTGCGGTTCTCTCAACTGATTTGAAGTTCGATTATTGAGATTATCTTAAAGCTGATTTTACAGCATTAATCGTAACTAGAATGAAAACGTTATGAAGTGTATAAATTGTGGCATCATTCATTAAAATTTACTGTTCACAGCCATATCATGGGCGGTAAAACATGTGAGTAATCAGTTCGTTTTTCCATTTTCAAGTTTCAACATATTTGTCCATAATTTTTAACCTTTTGTACCTGTCTGGTCTTTCTGAAAGCGAAAGGTGAAAGACTCATGAATGGCTTGATCGATAACTGAACCTGAAATGGGCAGTGGAAGGAATCACTTTATGCCGACAATCCTTGAGTAGACATCTCAGGTCGTGTATGTCTTCTATTTGATATGTTTTAATATCTGAGTTGGTGGTTCTGTTGTATTTAAGAGAGACTTTCATGAAAATCACTTGGTTTATGAAATGATACGAGCGATCCAAATTCATTTAAGATTGGTGATTGATATCTGCTTTCTTACTACAGTGTACATTCCACTGAGGCAGGGGCCAGATGTTTGAGTGAAGCTTCTAGGATATGAATATACGGTTTATACTTAACAATGTACATTTTTCTGCAAATACTTGTATTGGAATCTTAGTATAATTGAAGCCAGAAGAATTTTGATCACTGATTATCAATTAGTTCAGTAACAACCTCATTAATAATCTCCTCTAGAACGAGTGCTCCAATCTCTGCTCCTATAAGCTGCTTCTGCGGCTTCAAATCCCACCATTCTGCTGCTGAGAACAAGTAATCTGAGTGAAGTGAATTTGATAGGTTTGCTTTTTTCCCAGTGGTTTCCTTCTCATGGATGAGCCTCCTGGCTTCTTCAGAATCTATGTGCCTGCCATGCTTGGAATGGGCCTCCACCACCTCCCCCACACAGTAAAAAAGAAGCTGCTTTGTTTGATGAATTACCCTTTTGAATATCAGGAGCTGAGATGTAGTGTTGGATGTTACAAGTTCCTGCAGTTCTGCAGTCTCAATACCACTCGGTTTCTCCATTGCTGCGGAGTAAAGAAGTAATTCCGAAAGAGTGGCCGAGAGAATGGAGTTGTCTGGAACTTTCTTCTGTAGAGGAATGCCATTCCGTAATTGATTATTGTTTAGTCTTGCTGGAATTATCGAATCAGACCCTGCTTCCCTGTTTTCATGTCCTAAACAAGTTCAGATCATTCAGCTACAGTTGCTTTTATTTTATACATTAGAGACTCTCTGTATATAAGGTGGTAACTTCATGGACATGGAAGATGAAAATCATTGTCTAATCCAGGGCTGAGTTGCTTACTTGATTTCATGCTTCTAGACACGACCTTTTTTCCTGCCGCACCCTGTTTGGTGCCGTTAGTTCGTCAAGTTTACAGAAAGTTGTAAGACTGGTATTTCACATTTTGAAGTTTAAATTGATGATAGATTATAAATGGGACATGCCGAGTCTGCTTTAAAGACTACATATGATTCAGGTATGCCTTGTAGTTCTGATAAATTATGATGAATTAAGTGTTCGGGATGATCATACCTTAAGTATTTGTAAGTTGCAGGGCTCTGAAGTTGATGAAGTAGCATGATGTCTTCTCTTCGAAGATGATGTCTTTTTTTTATCTTTTCTAGAAAATGAACTGGACTTCTTCCGGGAGCTGCAGGGAGACAAAAAGTTCTCTGATTCTGCAACTCTCTTGCAGCCAACACTAAGAATCCATCCACTTTTTCCCAAATCCTTAGTTTGCTGCTTCCTATTGATGGAAACAAGCTTCTTACAGGTATTCCTCAGCACCTTATTTATCTCTACAAATCCCTTTCCAAACTTCATAATATTGTCAAATTTTCCACTGCTGCTGGCAAAGCCACTGCCACTGCCCCTACTAAAGCTCTTTCTCGAGTAGTCTCTCTCGAAAAGGTACTCCTCCAACTCGAAAGGCTCCTGTTGCTCTTGCAGAAGCTGTCTCAATGGTGATCTTGGGGTCATGGATGCTATGAAGAAGAAAGGTTGAAATGCAAGTAGAGAATGGAAGAACATATAATAATTACAAAGACAATTCAGGTTTAGTTGGAGGAGAGGATTATGTGGTGCAGATTAATAAATCATGGATAGATCAGAAAAAGCCTACCTGTCAGAATCTGATTTATCATTGCCTTGAAACAGACTGAGATACCGAAGAAGAGCGAGACACACACGCAACACAACAGTTACTAGGTAAAAATATCATTTAACTGCTAAGGATTGCTGCCACCATATAAGGTTATGCCTAGCTGTTTTTTTGTAGACATTTTGTTTTCTTATACACTTTTCTGTCAAATCATCGCTTGTCTTTACCTGTGGCCTTCGTCAATCCTTACCCCTTTCATTGTACGTGAAAACAGAGATATACGGAGGATCTCATTACAACAATGCAGGTGCCTTAGCTCCATTTGGTCAATGATTAACTGACCATTTGAACTGATATAAGAAAAAGAACAGAAAAAAAAAAAGGTACAGTAGTTTTGGTTGTCGTCAGAAAGGCTACAGAGAGCCTATTTATGGTGTTTGAAAGGCAGTGGTCCAGAGGCAATTGGTTCATTGTAAGTGTATCTCTGAAGCCTGTTTCTTCTTGAATCTGAGATTTCTGGTTGAGATTTTATTAGTTTCTATCATGTTTATCATTTTGTTTGCCTACATTTATTTTCCTTCATGCATGAATCTGAGATTTCTTTCAGGCCAAGGCGTTGCTTTCAGAAGTAAGCTCTTGGGGTTATGAAAGAGATGTCAAAGTTTCAATCTTACCCTAAATTTTGTTACGGTGATGTGAGATCTCACATCGGTTGGAGAGAAGAGTGAAGCATTCCTTATAAGGGTGTAGAAACTTCTTCATAATAGCCGCGTTTTAAAATCGTGAGGCTATCGACGATACGTAACGTGCCAAAACGACTAGCAGTTGGCTTGGACTGTTACAAATAGTATTAGAGCCAAACACCGAGCGGTGTGTCAGCGAATATGCTGGGTCCCTAAGGGGGTAGATTGTGAGATCTCACATTGGTGGAAGAGAAAAACGAAACATTCCTTATAAGAGTTTAGAAATCTCTCCCTAACAGACACGTTTTAAAACCTTGAGGCTGCTGACGCGATACGTAACGGACAAAAACTAACAAATTGGGCTGTTATAGGTGAGGAGTCTGATTAACATGGAAATCTGAGGAAATTTATTGATATTCCCAGTTGGCCAGCAATGGCCACAAGAAATCTGTTCTTTTCTTGTATCATTTTTGAAGTTTAATTTAGAGTTCCATAGTTAAAGTGGAAATTGATGGGAGTTTGTTTTTTATCATGGCCTCCCCTTCTGGCCCCGACCCCATCTTTGGATTTCTGTGACTCTAATAAGATCCTATATTCTGAGACATTATTTTCCTACGGATACAACAAAATTATGTTTATGTTTGCTTCCCTTTGAACTTGTTACTCTATTTTTTATTTCAGAAAAGAACAAAAATTATTTATTTTGCGTGGACTGTGTATTATTTTTTATGATTGAGAGATGAATATCTCATTCTCACTGCTATTAGTGTGTACTTTGAGATACTTTTGGGCTTAACCTTTTTTTTGCAATTCTCTCTTGTTAGTAATATGATAATACGCTACGAGATGCGGTGGAGTGTGACAGTTATGATTGATTATTGTTTAGAGCATATTATCTATGACGGTATGTCCTTGTCATACAAAACCTTTTTATCTTGTTTTTATGTTTATTATTTTATTATTATAATTCTTGTACGTGTGATATTTCAGCAAATGTAATATGGTAAACACAACCGTCATCAAACATTATGAGTCTCAACATACGTCAAGATTGTCCGCAATTGAAGAAGCGTCACACAACAATCGCTGTTTTATTGCCAAAAGAGTGATTGTAGCACATGGTTCAATCGGTTTCATTTGGCATAGTTGACTATAAATAAAAGTAATATTATATTATTTTAGTATAAACATAGCTCAACTCATTTAGATTTATTATCCTATAGGTAAACAGAAGTCTGGGAAAGTTCTGACAGCCGAGCTTGAAGCGCCACAAATTCCGACCACAATCTCTCATTTTGTCTTCGCACCATGGAACTACGCTTCGACACCAAATTCAACTGCCTTTTCAGCTCTTCATTCTTCACTTTCAGCCGGTCGGCTTCAACCGTCAGGCTCTCAAAATATCTCATCTTTCGCAACCTGGGCCGCGTCGCTGGTTCTCGGTTTGACATCATTCGATTCCTTCTCCTCCCACCGTCGATCGAAGAGACGGCTTGGCACGAGCCTTGGGAACTTGAGATCGACTCGCCCGGATCTTCAAACCGAGACCAAACCTCCTGGCTTTCGGCCGGCGATAACCCAGATTCATAAACGGGCCTATGAAACCGGACGGCTTCTTCTTCAGAATAGAACTTTGGGAAAGAGAATGAGAGAGACATGGGAAGGGAAGGAAGAAAGAGGAGACGGGTATATAAAGAGGAAAGGGAGGGTGTTACAAGTTGTTCGCTAATAAATTTATAAGTAAGAAATACATTTTCAAGTACAAATAGAGTCACGAGAGCTCGTCTGCGGAACAATATCGTACTATTGTAGAGACCCATGTTGTTCGGACACATCAATAGACCATTTGTTTATCCCTTTTGTGCTGGTGGAAGAAAAAGGGATATTTTTAAAGATGAACTCTTAGCTACCTTAACCACGAAGAATCAGACAAAACGACAGATTAGACAAAAACTTTATCAGAAATGGAAAGTTTTTTTTTTTCTTTTTTTTTCTTTCTTTTCGAACAAGTTTACCAAAACCCCAATATCGTGCCCATGATCCTTAAACTCACGTGAAAAAGTTGGAATTTTTTAAGAATCAGTTATGGGCTTATTGTTATGGGCTTATTGTCATGGGCTTATTGTCATAGGCTTCAGTGTTAACAACCCTTTGACCCAAGAGTTATGGGCTTATTAACATTAAAATATATTTTTAAAATATTGATATTATCAAATAATTATTTTTTATAATTTTATTGTCGTGACTTTAATTATATATTTCTTATTTCACCAAATCAATCAATTTCATATTGAAAAGACCCCAAAAATTTAAAAAGCAAATGGAAAAAAGTAAGGATAAAGGAAGAAAAATAACGTTCAATAAATAAAACAATGAAACGTGGGATAAATTTTAAATTAAAAGAACTAAAAATTTCAAATTTTCATTTATTATTTATTATTTCGTTTTTGCTTTGGATTCCCCGCTGGTCCATTTGGGAAAAAAAAAGGAAAAGTCGTAACTTTATGTAATTAATGCACAACATTATCATTCCCATTTTTACAAAATTATTGAAATTCATGGCCCCATATCCTCCACACTTTTTTCTTAATAAATATCTTTTAATTTTTTGAAAATTTGAAATAATTTATATATATTTTTCATGGATTCTTATCATCTTGTTTACTTATATGGGAAATTTCATCCTCTAAATAAAAAAATAATAATCATCCTGAAACGAGAGTTAATAATGAGAAGTTCAAAATTTGAGTTGTTATTGAAGTTATTAACTGAGATTGAGATTAAATCGTAGCTGAGATTGAGTTGCTAAGAACAGTAAACACTTGTAAATAATTTAGAAAAGCAGTAAGTTTCCCAGATTCAGAAGCTTCTTCATCATATCACTTACCAACGAAAAAGAGGAGCCTTTTGATTTGGGTTATTCAAGATAAGTAGCAGAGTTGTTCATTAGATTGCAGCTACAAGTGGCTGACACTTCTTGCCTTTTCCGGCCCTCCTCCGGCCAGCTGCATCGCCGTCCTGTCGATGGTTTACATCTTTTGGGATCAAAGGAGCGTCATTCGCCTCATCGCCGTCGTCCTCAGCTGTGGCAATACGAATACAAGAGCATCGTTCCAAGGATCCAAAGAAAGCTGTGACAAAGCCATTGATGAGCCAAGTTGCCACTCCATCAAGCTTCCCACATGCTGGAGAGGCATGGGTTGATGAAGAAGTTCTCACTCTTGACTCCATAGAAATTGATCTGATGGAGAAGCTACTGCAGGTGGAAGTAATGGCAGACATGGAAATAATCAGAAACAGAGAAAGAGAGAGAGAAACAGAGACAGAGACAGAGTTATGAAAGCTCCAAACTAGCAGCTTATAAGTCCCAAAGGAGCATCTTCTACCGACCCAGATAATAATTAAGAGTTGAATTTCGAAGCATTCCCTTGACAGTGTTAAAATTAACGACAAGACAATGGAAATTAATCTCAGAACAAAGATCTTTATAAAGGAAAAATAAACAAAAGTTGGTAACAAAGCGTGCAAAGAGCCAATCATGATTCGGGGCTTGTTAATAAATCAATCTACATACAATTACAATGACATATTCAAGATTAGGGGCCAGTTGAACAAAAAACAAAAGCAAATATGAAAGCAACTTGGAAGATTATGCCATACCCCGCAATGGTCCTACGGGGCCTGCATGAGTGTATTTGCCGCCGCTCATAGCTGGCAGCTTCCCTATTATCCTTCCCTCTCACTTCAGCTTTTACTCTCTTTCTATCCAAATAGGATGGAAGAATGAATGCTAATATCAGTCAAAATACCAGAACTTTCCAGCAGGTTAAAAGGAGGCAGCTTCCAGGAAGAGATGGGCAACAGAAATCATAACCCATTGACATCTCTATTACTAGAAGGCATGATTAATCAAGAGCTACATGGCATAAAAAATGTTATCAACAAAAATGAAGGTAAAGGAAGTGGATATTAAAGAAGAATGGGATGATGGTAATGATGATACCCAAATGTTAAAAATGCATATCACATGGGGTTAACACCCACATCCTCGCCTATATGCAGACCTACTGAGTAAATAATAATCTCTTTAACAAACAGAAGTTTCTACGGAACCCAGTCTGGAAAAGTCAGCTTAGTTGGTCATGAGAATGCCAATGTTAACTTACTGTTTACTTTCCATCCAGAAACAACTTCATCCAGCATTTGTTTAGAGTATATTGAGGAAGTTCATGGAAATAGAAAGTTCATCAACTTTCCAGCAAAGACATCCCCGCGAGACATCCAAGATGGTGTTTGCAGGCCTCACCGGATCAAGAACATGCCATTAAGATTCAGAACAAAATTTCTTTCTGATGTCCAAAGCAGTTCAAAATAGCCAGCTGCTCTGCAAAACGGTTCTGTGAGAACAAGGTTATGAGATCAGAAACAAAAAAGATTGAAAATAACAGGATGAATAGTCCAGGAGCCAACAACAAAAATCTGTCGCATAGTAAGGAATGTTGGATAGTAATATGAGTTTGTCACAAGAAATTTCAAGTTCTCCGTCGTCTGTGGCTGACCGCAGAGTAAATAACTAAATTCATTAGTCAGAAGGCAACTGCAAAAAATATGCTAAAATTGCACAAGGTAATTATAAGGTAGCTCAAGGAGTGGGGTAATGGGTGAAAATCAGTCCTGCGGAGTCAATTACATGAATCATAGAACCTTTATAATTGGCATAGAAGAAATCTATGTTTACAGCTCCAAAAGAAAAGGAAACTTGTACGAGTCGTTGAGAAATGAAAGTAAAAATCAAATGGAACTGCCTCTATTCTAAAGTCTTCAGTAGCATGACATGCTGAGTTGAGAAAGAGAGGTAAAGAGAGACATGAATCAATCTAGGTTTGGGTTGTTACTCAAATCGTTATGAACTTGCAGTAGGGTGTTTGGAACAAAGGATGAAATTGCATTAGGCTTCCAAGTCATGTAGCTATTTGAAGTGCATCAATATGGGTGAATGAAGAAATTGGCTCGCAACCGTATTAGAATATATCAAAAGCATCCTGTAGAAAAACCAGAGAATCAGAGCTACTTAAGCATCAATATATGCATTTGTTCAAGAAGTATCATCATCATTCAAATTTGAATGATGGGAAGTCCAAAACCTTCCCTAAATGCAACACTGGTATATATACTTTCTAATCTAAGTGGCTTGAACTGCTTTCCGCTCTATTATTATGCAGATAACAGAAGCCCGGTGCCATAAAAAACATGTAGATATAATGCTACACAAATTGTAACAATAACAGAAGACTTTGCACTGAAGTAGCTTACGACTTCCAAACCCCTACCCACAACCTCATCATGAACTATACCAAAACTTCTCTTGAGACCATCCATTAGCTTCCACAACAAAAAATCCACAACAGATCTTGTCGTTTCAAATGTCACTCTACCAGTTAAATCAAGCACAAACTTCCTGTTTCTAGGAACAGCCAGAGTAGATGAAACTGTGTCAATCCACCCATTTTGGCTACTCTCAATTGAGCTGGCCGCAGCCATCTTCTTTGAAGAAGCTTCTTCTGAAAAGAGATCGTCTCCTAGCTTTGACAGTCCATTACAGGATGAAACCGGACTCAAATTCGAAGTCGATCGCGAGCTTGTCAAGACCTGGTGAGATGTTTTTACAAGAGTTTCCACAGCTCCATTACAAACAGAAACAACCATGTCCTTCACCTTGTCCTGATGAGTGGGATTGGTCAATCCACTAAAGAGATCATTGTACACATTAACATCCATTGTTTTATCAAGATATACAGAAACTGCAGTGCTAACAAAAACTTGTATGCAATCTGCTATAACATTTTTGCATTTCTCGTCGGAGGCCACAGTTACCCATCTAGGCACGTCTGAAAATTCAGATCCAGATTTGTAAGCATCATCGACTGATCCAGGGATCGAGTAATACCCCATCACCAAATTCTTTGCAAAACTTCCAACCACAACAGAAGCAAAACCAGTCCCAGCTGTTAAGAAAAGCTTCTCGACGACGCCAGAAGAAGAGCTCGAATTCACCGAATCAGCCTCCAAATTCCCGTCGTTCTTTGTTACAGATTTATACCCTCTCATCATCCCAACCGTAAATGCCTCGGTGACCTTCTCCAGAGATTCCGAAAATTCCTCCGATTTAGCGAGTTTGGAAATTTGCTTCAAGCTGTTGGGAATTCGATCGGAATCAGATTTCAGAAACTCCTTCAAATCTTTAGAAATTACTCCGATTGCTTCAGAAGAATCCGCAACCATTTCAGCGACGGAAATCATGGCACCGAAGAGCTTCATCAGCCTCTTCCTCTTCCACTCGACGGAGGGAAAATGATAGACCTTATAAACTCCGTAACCAGAGACCCCCATGAGAGCCAATAGAACAAGCCATTTCTTCCTCCTTTGGGAGAATCCCAAGCCCCTTCTAACAAGTTCAAAATCCATACAGAGAAATTTCCAAATAGCAAGAGGGAGAGTCTATAGAACCGAAATCAAACCGAAACCCAGATTCGAGATTGAAAGGCACGAAACCGTACAAAAAAATGGCGCGACAAACAGTGAGAGGGTCGAGAAAATCGTTGAGATTTTCCCTCTCAACAAATGGAAAGGAAAAATCCGATAAATAACATAGAATCGAATCGGAAACTGCTTGGGATTATTGTAGAAAGTCAATGAAGATTGAGGGGTCAAACCTGGAGGATTTTGCAGCAAAATTTGTGGGAAATTTAATTGGCGGCAAATGGAAACAGGAGGCGAGTGCAGGTGATTGGCTTGAAATGATTGATAGAACGGAATGAAAATTTAACAAACAAAAATAAGATGAGAAAGAATTGAATGGAGGAGTTCATGTTCGGGTCGGTTAAACCAATCCTACACGGAAACACCAAAATCGCAAATCAGATAACCAATCAGAATGAATTCAAGTTCCCACAAACGAACCACGCCAGCCTTGTGTATTAAAATTTGAACCCAACTGCATGGCCATTTTGTATGCAATTTTCCCCATAATCTACACACTCGTTCTTAATTTTTCATGATTATAACTCAAGTTGCGCATTTAAACTTAAAATAAACAAGACATTAAGTAATAAATATCCATTAAAGTTGAATAGTAATTTCTGACAGCAAATTTGTTGGTGAATTTCCTCTCGGTTCTGTAGAATATTCCCGGTCTTCCGTTTCCATTCTTCATCCTGTTTGTGGTCTTTCTAACTCGAAAACAAATCTCATCCAGAGTGATTGTGGTCAGTACGCTTCGGTTCAATTTCTGGTATCAATTTTGAACAAACAGACAAATAAAAGCTCATTGGTCTGATACTCAAAGAACAAAATAATGGGCCAACTTGCATTTCAAAGGCCTATCTGTGAGTATGATAACTAGAGCTATATGCTATATATCTTATCTTTAAGGAGTAGAAAGGTAAAAAAGTACAGCAATCAAATAGAAAGAATGGTCCATTATGGTGGTTCTGTAGATACCAATGAGATGATGGGTAACTTCCATCCAACAGAATCCTCTTCTCAACTGCCTCAATTCGGTGGCTCCTTCGGCTGTTTTTAGCGCTTTCTTCTGTCAGACAGCCACCGATGAATGAATCTCCACTCCTGACAGACCAACAAAGGGATGAGGACAATCATCGTTGGGCATGGAACAAAAAGAATCTATATCTTTTCCCCTTTTGTCTATTTACTGATACATTCTTTACACAGTTCCCAAACAAAAAACCAAACAGAAACACATTGTCACTCTTCCAAACTGGAATAATCATTCTCTCATTCATTTACAAATGCACCCACCAACCCCCATCAACTAAAAGCAATTTCAGATGGTTTCATAAAGATCGGTAACTGCAGCCCCATCAATCTTGTCAGACTGACTTTGTAATTCATTTAGCCTCATCGGCAAAGCATACACAATTGGAAGCATCGCCTTGAATTCTTTTGTCTAACTTCCTTATTCTTTTGAAACAATCTTGAATTTAGCAGGCAGAACCATATCATCATCCTCGAGATCACTGAAAGAAATATCTTCGTCGTACCCGAGAGGGAGGATGGCCCCAGAGTCTTCCTCTAGCCAATCATTATCTGACTCGTCGTTGTAGTTCTGAACAAGGAATTTTGAAGAAGACCCAATCGTCGAGTTTTTATCCTCATCTTTAATTATAGGTTTTTCAACGATGACGGACTTATCAATGAATTGTGTTTCAGAAGTCTCTATTTGGTATTTTTCTGTCTCACAATTGCTCGACATAGACGACATGCTTGGCTCAGATGTAAATGTCCAAGGTAGCGTAGATACAGAATGAGTTTCAAGGCCCAGGGAGCTATCATCTTCCTGCAACAAATCAGAGCTGTCTTTTAATTCAAAAGTGTCTCTTCCACACCAGAAAGTCTCTGGCTTGGTCTTCTTTTGTAATTCCTGCATCCAGATTGATCTGGCTTCTGCTACCTACAAGTTTGGTGAATCCAAATTATACTAGAAACATAACGTTTCAATCAAAGGAACCAGATTAATACTCAATTAAAGCAGTAAAATAATACATGTTGGAACTCCATATGAATATAATAAAAATTTCTGCAATCATAGCATTTGGGTCATTTTGTGCACAATTTAACTATACATGGGAACCCTAAATTACAAATAAGCATCATCATGCCAGACCATAACAATTTGGAAATTACGTAGCCTACCTAAAAAGGTTGCATTGCAATTTTAAAAAACAAAGAAAAGAAAGAGTAGTCAACCTGTGGAGTAGATAAAGCCTCAGCATCCTGTTTATTGAGTCTTGAATGCAGGAGCACAAAGTAGACTTTCCAAAAGTAACTCTCACTCATATGGCAAGGACAGAGCTCAAATCTGAGAGCAGCCAATCTAGGAGCAAGATGTTCAATAGTGAAAGCATGCTCTTTTTGGGCATCAGACATTTCAAAATCTAAAACAAGAAAAAGAAGGGTCTAAAGACGTAAATACACAGGGCTCAACAATGTGAAAAACATCATAAAAGCAGATAGTTAAACAATGACGAAGTCCAAACTCACCATTCAAAAGTCAACATATTTAGTAATTTAAGTGGATCACCTTATAAAAATTCCTTTCCCGTTCATCTTACATATCCAGGTATAGGAGATGGGGTTATGATTAAATTCAGAATAAGTTATAATACTGAAAATCAAATAACTTGGGTCACACTTGATTGTATAAAACTGAAACATCATATTCGCACTCTAAATGATGAACATAATCGATAGAGCCTCTAATGCAATATGTGATATGCTAATTATATTGAAAGGAAACAAGTTCCCAGGTTTTGGAAAGGCCCAAGTCTCTCCCTTCGCAGGCAAGCTACCTTGATCCGTCTCTAGTTTCAATGCTTAATGTCCACCTCCAACGAGCCCTAAAATCTCTTGTCAACAATGATAATAATAACTAGCTTTATAGCTTCAGAAATTTATGCTTCCCGTGGTATTTAAAAAAGAAAAAAGAATAGAAAAAACCTTAAGCATTCACAATAAAAATGTCTATCTATAAAGCTTTGCTTGCGTAGACTTAGTTTTCAGCTTGGGTTGGTGCCTCATCCTTTCAAATTAGGAGTGTATCTGAATCACATGACAAATCCCCACACACACTTAAAGCTATCTTGACTTAACTCTTTATTGTGATAGGCCAAAAGACCTTCACCTTGAGATGTATGGGGGATTCGTTGCTTATAGATCCCGCCCAATATCCTTCTTCCCCGACGCCTTCTGACCCGCAAAAGTATACAGTGACCATTTCTAGACATTGGGGTCCCACATCACATAAAGGATCCATGCACACTACACGCTATACGAGGGAGATTATCTAACACTTGACAAATTCACATGTTCCATAACAAAACTATCACTTAACACTCATGACACTTTCACCTAGTGTAGGCGAACTGAATTGGGAGCTTATCCTTCCTATCACAACATAAGTGCAATGGCACCTTGAATGAATGAGTTCAATTCGCGTACAAAAGATGTAAAGTACGCGAATGGAATCACTGAATGTATGTGTTGTATAGCACTGAGGGAACCACAATATTTCAACTTCTGCCCATAGCCAAAGGTAATCGTTAATGGAAAAGGTAATAGGCATTGAGAACCAGAAAAGGAAGAAAAATTGGGAACTGGAATGACAAGGCAGGACGTTATGAGGAACGATACACAAGTGGAGGTCAACAAGTGAAGTGACAGAACCCATGTAGATATAAAAACTGAGGCATGATCCAAGAGTACTATCCTGAAATCCAAAAGGGTTTACTGAGTTATCAAAAAAAATTTAATACCCATCTCTTACTTTATGGACAACAGGTGTGCCAACTAAAGATACTTAAGTTAATTTTGGAAAATAGTTGTTGAATGAGATACAGTTACAAAAATTCTGAGCTAACTGCTGACATCTAATGGTGGCACTCAACACACCCCAAGATAAATTTCTAACATGCCCGGCGCAGAAGATCCAAAAGGATGGATTCATAGAAGTCTCCATTTATGGAAACGAGTTTCTAAAAGCATTTCATAAATGATTCCAGCATCAATTGAACAATTCATTAAAAGAAACAATGACGCTAAAGATTATTAGCAGTGGCCTTCAGACCATTCAGTAACCTTCATCCAATATCCGATAAGAAACGAATAAGATTAAGACCAGATAACAGGTTTCCTTGTCGAAGAGAAATCGATTAACAAGCATCTAAGCAATTGGATAGTAAAATTAGCAAAACACACATACCACCGTTGTCCTCCTCCTCGTCAATTGGGAAATCAATCCAAGTCTCAGGGTGCATTGCAATGTTCGTGGCAAACGTCAGCACTTCATCAGTGATCCCAACAGCGCCTTCCCAATCCACCTCATAGCATTCCTCCTGTAAAATCCCCGATTTCGCATAGGCGTCATGATTGGAACGCATATTCAAAACCTCAATCGAATCAGTCAGGTCCTCTTCGTCCCCGGAGATCGATGGATCAGACTGATTAGACGCCTCGAACGACTTCCAATCGGGAGGGGCAGCCAGATCCTCTGCCGGGTTGAGATGATGAGTCGGCCCCGGTTCCGGCGGAGGCGGAGGAGGAGCAAGGAAAGTGGCCACGCCCCAAAATTGGCGGGTTAGGGTTTGTTTGAATTCAGTCAAGTCCTCTTTGACGCGGCGAGATAATGCTTCGTCGTCGAGTTGGGGTTGGGATTGGGATTGGGATTGGGATTGGGATTCCATCTGGTTGCGGGTAATGGTGGAAGAAGAAGAAGATACGACGTCGTTGTGCTGCTCATCTTCTTCGTCGTCAAGGCGAAGGGTGTTAGCAATGGAGAGAGCCAACCATGACATTGCATCTGATTCGTACGGCGAAGAAAGCGATTGGTTCACACTTCCCACCCTTAATATGGCGCTGTTTGATCGGTCGCCCTTTCGCTTGCGCTTTTTTTTCGTAAATACACTTTTCTCCAAATATTATTATTATTAATACAAACCTTATATTATATTATATTATAATATGGGCTTGGGTTATGATTGGGCCATGAATACATTATAATGGGCCATCTTATCTAAACAAGCCCAAGGCCCACGTTTTCGTTTCCTTTTTCTGTATTCCGGCCCAACCCATTCACATTGAAAGGGAAATTGTGAGTGACAGCTGGCAAAATCTTAAAAATAAAAAACAAAATTTAAGGAAGAAAATAAGAGGAAAATTTCAGGAGTTGGGCATAATGTGCGATGCGCCCACATACCCATTTCAACAGCGACATCTTTTTATTTTCTCATTTAATGTGTCGTTTTTCAAATTTTCTTTTTCTTTTTTTCTTTTTTTCTTTTTCCTTTTAGGAAATGGGAGAGAGGAGTTTACCGTGTGCACCCATTTGCATGAACAAAGGGAGAGGAGAAGGACCCCCACGATGGAAAGAGTAGAGAAAAGATCAATTATTAGCCCAACCCCACATTTTTAATGCTAAACCATGCCAAGAAAATGACCCTTGTCTCCCCCCCTCCTTTTATTTCCCTACTTTTTACCTCGATAACTCGACTTAACGAGGTGGGTTGGTTAGCTGGTTAGATCACTCGAGGCCGAGGCCAAGACCCACCAGGGTAGGCAAAACCATAGGCCCGCTCTAGACAAGAAAGGAAAGTGGTTTGGTGATAATTGAGTCGAGACATATAAAAGAGTATGAGGCTTATACCTATCTAAAAAAATAAAACCTAAAACCTATAAATAGAAGGATTCAAATGTAGCCTAAATTCTTATAAAAATATTAAAAGAAAAATATCTAGAAAAGAATATGATAGAATATTATTATGAAGATCCTTTCCGACCAATTTTCTGGCCATTAATCACCAATCATATCCAAACTCTGAATCAACCCTTTTTCACACAAACGAAAAGGGATTTCAATATTTGGAGGACCATTCATCGGAATTGTACTTTTTATTTATTTATTTATTTATTTACTTTAATTATGCATAATACTTGTTAACTCAAACGACAACAAAAGTAATCATGATCATCTCTGATTCTTTTGGTAATAATAACGGACAGAAAAATTAATACCCAGAGGAAAAAACTCGTATGTTCCAAAACCTACAACGACAACAAAAAATGATATCATAAATTGTTCTTCATCATACAACATTTGATTTGATGGGCCAATAAGAAAAAATCTACAGAAATATACAATGATGAGCTTCAAAAACTCACCCCCACTTCATTGATTCAGATGGAAGAAGAACACGAAGAACACGAAGAACCCCGAACGCAGAAAAAGAGATCTTCATTCTTCATTTCACTCTTCAAAACTCGGACTCTAACAGGAATCTTATCTTATCTTATCTTATCCGCGTACTAATCTATTATATTACAGAGAACCATGTTCTCTGTGCTTTCAGATTTCAGTGGCCACTTGCTCTAAGGGCTTATTCTTTAAAAAATGCCAATGCCCACTGCTTCTTATGGTGGTTTTTCTGTGTTCCTTTTTGGTTTTCATCTTCATTATTGTATTGTCCTTGTAAGCTTACACTTGGATATGAAGAGGGTTGCTGTGTAATTTAAGCTGCACAGCTTCAGAAGCTCGGCGGAGCGTTGTTTCAGAACGGGATTGCAACCGCTCTGAATCACCAGAAGAAGCTTGGCTGCTAAGCCTGCTTCCACAGCTTGTGATGCACATTCTTCAGGGGCAAGTTTACAAACTGCCCATAAGATTGATAAAGCCAGCTGAGTGCAGCTCTCTGAGATTCTCATTAACAACTTCACTAAGTTTGTAATGGTGTTGGGGCAATCTTTCAAGGCCACCCTGCCCTCCGAGAGGGACGAAAGCGAGTCTAATACATGAAGAGCTAGCTCCAAACATTCCGGGTCGAAATTCGGGAGAATTTCAATCAATTGTGGGATTGCCCCAATGCTCACTACTGAGTTCCTCACTGGTTCTTGGCAGCACAGAGCTTTTAGCAATCTTAACCCAGCAAGAACACCATTTGGGTGTTTTTTCTCTTTGATTAATCTCAGCAATCCAACTAAGAGACTAAAACTCGAGACAGTGTCTGCCCCACAATCATCACCATCCAGCAAAGTTTCAATCAATCTGGTGCAGTTGATTTTAGTCTCAGTGGATCCCTCATTCAACATATCCACCATTAATGAAATCTTCGCAGGTTGAACAAGGTTTCTTCTCGACTCGGCATCGAGATCCAAGTTCACCAAAATCCCAATGGCTTCGGAGCCAACCGCATGGGATGTGAAAGGACCTAACAAAGACAAAATCGAACCAAGACCGCCATTGTCCTCCACGGTTTTCTTCGCCGAAGAATTCGAGGCGACAACTTGTCGAAGCTCCTTCAAAGCTCGGACTCTGGCTTGGCCCTTGACCTTCTTCAAAGTGTCTAAGAGCTCAAGAGCCCTCCCCTGCACATCCTCAGACCTCTTCTTCATCGCCAAATACTTCTGCCAAAACCAACTGTAAATCAGTTGGTGAAGAGTGTTATTGGGGGTGATTGAATCATCCCAAAGCTCTTGCATTGTGGTGGGACATGTGAAATGACCAAGAGAAAACCATTTGAGGATATTGGATCGTTCATAGGTCTGTCCTGTACAAAGGGTCACAGGATCTCGCATTGGCTCCAATGAAATTGGGCAAATAAAAACCGAAGGAACCTCAATGTTCTCAAGCTCCTCCACTATCTCCTTCAGATCCAATTTCTCAGCCCCTCCACCGTCGCAGATTAACCCACCGCCGCCAAGAATACCATCTTTCACGGCGGTTTCCACATCAAGAACTTGCCCACCACCACCACCACCACCACCCAAACCCAGCTCCGAATCGGCCTCTCTCCTCCGACCGGAAGAAGGCTGGTACATCGGCATTTTCACAAAACCCTCAAAAGAACAAATGAATCTCAAGAGAGAGAGAGAGAGAAAAGAAAAATTACCCCAAATCCCTGGAACAGAAAACAAAAACGAGCTATTGAATTCAACTTTCAGCAACCAACAGAAACACGAATGGATTCAATCATTCAAACGCAAAGACAGAACAATAAAAAGGGAAGAAAAGAAAAAGGGGGTTTCTCTCTTACTTACTTTCTCTTTCTTCCACAATCTTTTAGCATACAGCTATCCTTCGCATTGACAACAATCACAAGCAGCAAAAATGGCGAATGGGGACATCTTTTTCTTCCTTTAACTGAACCCTTTCCTTAGTCAAAAGAAAGGCCTTCTTCTTCTTCTTCACCATCGCCTTAGTCATCATCAACACCACAGATGAGGCTCACTTCCTCTCGAAGCTCCACAAAAAGGGCGAAATCATCAAAACCCCCCCAAAGAAACAAGCAATCAAAAGCGCTACCATGAATGCAAATCACTCATACTTAACAACAGTGCACTTTCATCCCTCAAAACCCACCCGGAAAAATAAAAATGTCAGAAGAAAAATTGAAGGATCTAAGACACGAATGAACGGGAGGCACTGTGAAAGCGAGAAAAGCTAAGTTCTACCGAGTCGCTTCCATCGCTTGGGCCAGGGAGATGAATATCCAAACCCTCTTTTTATTTTTATTTTTCTTCTTTCCCCTAATTACCAATTAAATTAATTCAGGGTTTTTGACTGCCAGTTACCGGCTATATCCCGTAACTTTACCGGGAGCCACACGTGTAGCCTCACCTTTTCCCATTCTTATCACCGTATTCACCGGTTTTTTCTTTTCCTTTTCTGATAAAGTGTTTTATTATATTAATTATTCAGTGGGGTTTTATTTTTTGTGGTCATCTGGGATGGTCCCTCGGTTGGACTTGGATGGTCAAATGGTCAAAATAAAAAAGCGATTGATGTTACCCTCAAAATCACACAATGATATATTATAAACTATCCATTATGGAACAATCATATGGTTTTTTAATTTAATTTTAATTTTAAATATAAATTATATAACCAATTCATACTCCATATTTAAAATTTTATAAATATGTTAAAATTACCAACCATAGTTTCAGTATTTTAGACAGTCCCCAACTTAATCTCACCCATAGTTACTTTCAATATTAATTAATTAATTAATTTTGGATTTATTCGTTTATAAATTATAGTATTGAAATTTGAAAACAGAAAAATAATGGTGAGCTGTGGGTGATTTAGAACAGTGTGTAGGTGACAGAGCCACACGGTTCCCATGGTTACGTGTCAGTATTTTGTTGGCTGTGAGGGAAGCAACTGCATGAGAGGACGCATTTCGCAGTTTGCCTAATCAGACTGGTCAAAGTTCAAACCATAAACTTGATTTTCCCCCACTGTCAACAAACAATAAATTATTTGTTTAAATATATATTTTTTCTATAATTAAATAAAATGAGAGTTGAAAGAAAAAAAATGGATCTCCAATTCTAAGCCTAATTAATTTATTAACATATTGACATGATTTTATTATAAAATATGGTTCAAATTTTTATTCCAACTTCTGAGTGTTATATCTCGAAAATTTATAATTGTATTAAAAACTTTGGGTATTTAAATATTTTATTTTTTAACGTGAAGTTTTTAAAAGGTCCAATTAATTATAGTTTTATTATAATGTAGTGTGGCAAGGAAGGGACGTTATTGATTTCTGTGTATCGATGTAAGATGCCCTCCATAATCAAACTCCTAGGAACTCGAACCACGTGTAGTTTTTCAAATATATATAATAAAACATAAATAAAATACAGCTAAATTAATACGAATATTTTTTAAAAATTATCTCAAATTTAGAATTAACCAAAAAAAAAAAGTTTGAAAATTAATTTTATAATATTAATATTTTATTTTAAAATATCTTTCAAGTTAAAAAATAAATAAAAACATATAGTTTTCAAAAATTAAAACTTATTACTACTCACATTTAAAAAGAAATAGTTTGTTTGTAAAATTGTTTTTGTACAAAGTTGTTACTTTTAAATTTTTATAAAAATATATTTTTTAATTTTTAAACAAATGGAAGTGTATTTTAAAATTCAACTCTATTTTTTACTATAAAATATTAACGATCTTCATCCAAAATTAAGGATTATAATGTTTTTTAGATTTTTTTTTTTAATTTAAAGGTATTATTAAATTTTTTAAAACGTTTAAGGCGTTTTGTGTATAAAATATATGAGTGCTTTTATTAATTTAGCTAGTAAAATAATTATGATTGAGAGCTAAAAACGTGAATAAAAGTGTTATAGTTAAAATCTCAAAATGTTCGTTATAGGGTACGTTGATGTCTATAAATCGTCAATAAAAATATTATATTAAACACTGATAAATGTTGACAACATATTATCCTTGACGATCTAGGTGTTATGTTGTAGGTCAAAAAACATCAACAAATAGTGTAAAATTAAAAGCTTTTTAAAGGGTCGATGGCTATTAAATACAAATTTAAAATTATCGAGAGCTGAAAATGACAATTAGATAGACGTTCAATAAATTTTAATAAATATGAAAATTAAGACATTTTTAATCACAAATTTATAGACAATAAAATTATTATGAATCGAGGTTAAAGCCTTTGGTTAGGTTATATGTCAATTTTAGAATTGAATTGATAAAGACCGGAATAGAATATTTAAAAGTTTTAATAATTGTAATCAAATTTTAAACATTTTTAGGTTAAAATACATTTTTAATTATTGAGCTTAGTTTTTTTTTTTTTTTTTTTTTTTTTTTTTTTTTTTTTTTTTTTTTTTTTTTTTTTTTTTTTTTTTTTTTTTTTTTTTTTTTTTTTTTTTTTTTTTTTTTTTTTTTTTTTTTTTTTTTTTTTTTTTTTTTTTTTTTTTTTTTTTTTTTTTTTTTTTTTACTATAATTTGGATTTTTTTCGGCTCTAAAATAGATTGGCAAAATTTACGGAAACAGAAAGCAACTTTACCCGACCAATATCAATTATTATAAATTAAATACTAAGTTAGAATTTCAATTATTATTAATAAATTTACGAACAGATATTTTGGTTCATATACTTTCAAATATTTTATTTTTATTTTATAACATTTGAAAGCATGGAATTAAAAAAAAAAAAAATTAAAATATGAACAAAATGATATTTTAATCTATATTACGTGACACATTTTCTAATTTAACAAAAATTAAATAAACTTATGGAATGAGATTCTATATTTATATTAAACTTGAAATATAAATTATGAATTCAATAATAATGTTATTTTTAAAATGCTAAATCAATCATTACAAAAAAAAAAAATGTAATATATTATTGTCTCATTAATACATTTAATTTTATTTTTTTAAAATTAATTTTAGATAGAAATAATTATATTCTATTTAAAAAATACTAATTAACTGGTTAAAAAAATGCATTTTAATTTTCAAAACACTCTTGAACTTGAGAAAAATCAAATTAATACTTTTATTTTTAAAAAATTAATACCTTATTTGTTTAACTTAAAAATAGTCGTGTTTAAAACTCACAAAAAATTCTTAAAAATAGTATTAATACTCTAAATAATAATAATAATATTTAGATACATGTGAAATATATAATTCATTAACAATTAAAAAAAAGTTTAAATTACAAATATAATTAGTAGGTATGCACCAAAACTTGAAGAAATAGTAATATAGACGAAGACTTTATGGAACCAATCAAGTTATTTACAAAGAAACCTAAGAATAAAATTTAACGTTTGAATAATATAAAAGTAAGTTCTAAGTTGTAACTGAAGGAAAGTGCTTTTTTGATTGAGAGGGTTCGCAGTATAAAAATGTAAAAATATTGAATACATTGGACAACTGGACCCACGAAAGTCAGAAGGTTTGATGCAGATGGAATGATCATCAGAACCTTCTCGACTCCTGCATTCGTAATGAAAAGAAAACCACATATCTTGTTGGTGTTCTTTCGAATTTGGTGCGCTTGGATTTCTCCGATGGCCACTTTTGGTGGTTTCAGATCTTATGTGTGCTTCCTTGTTCTTATTTTTCAGGTGCTCTCCGCCGCCGCTGCAGGCTCATTCTGGAGTGTGAAGTATCTGCCAGGATTTGCAGGGCCTCTTCCGTTTGAACTCGAAACTGGGTCAGTTTAGGTTATTTCCGAATTCCTCTTTTTTTGTTTCTAATTAGAGTTAAAGTAATTAGTGATCATTTTAAGTTTGGTGTTTGAGTTAGAATTTGAGACTAAGTTTTGTTCTGGGAGTGGAGTAGATATGTCGGTGTGGGGGATTCGGAGGAAGTTCAGGTGTTTTATTACTTTGTGAAGTCCCAAGGAAATCCCCAAACCGATCCTCTAATGACATGGCTCATCGGAGGTCCCGGTTGCTCTGCTCTCTCTGGATTCGCCGTGGAAATCGGTACTCTACAATTTATATTTAGTTCTATTGCAACATATCTCTCTTATTTCATCTTCCCTCCTCTGATTCCTCGCTTCAAATCTGAAAATTCATAGCCATTTGAATTTGAGTTGTGTTGGTTTTGGGCCTTACTCTGTGGATTTTGGTTAAAGTTATCATTTAATGACCTTTTGGGCTTATTTAAACTTGGGTTTGATTGATAACACACAAAAATGTGCTGTAGTTAGCCTTTATTTTATTCTAGTTTGTGTGAATTCAATGTATACTTTCACGTTTATATTTGGTTGCTTGATAGACTTTGAGCATTTAGAGCAAGATCAAAGTTCTAGGAAGTTTATGGCTTGGCGTCTAGAAACAAGCAAGAAAGTTTGCACACGCAGTGTTCGAGATAATGCCAAGGGCGTCTCAACACCCCAAACACACCAATGTTTGTGCATTTATGTTTGAAGCGATAATTGTGTGTTGTATTTGTTTGAAGGTCCAGTAAATTTCAAGATAGAGCCATACAATGGAAGCACACCTCAACTGATCTTGAATCCCCATTCATGGACCAAGGTTGTAACAATTATTCACCTTTTTATTTCTTTTGCAATGACACTAACTTGCAATAGGGATGGTGATATCTGCCAGAAAGCCAGTATATTATTTATAGATATGCCTGTGGGCACTGGATTTTCATATGCTCGAACTCCACAAGGCTTGAAGAAAGGAGATCTACTTCAAGTTCAACAAAATCATCAATTTTTGCGAAAGGTATATATTCTGCATGCTCACATCAAAACTCAAGCTCCCTAACTTGGTTTGATATCAATTCCTTATGAATTTGAACTTTGTAGTGGCTGACTGATCACCCAGAGTTCATTCCTAATCCATTTTACGTCGGTGGGGACTCGTATTCTGGTATCATTATTCCACCTCTTACTCAAGCAATTTCAGAAGGTATAAACCATTCATAATCTGGTATTGGATGTGTAGATTGCACTATTTCTAATTTTCTTTACAAAAACTAATGTCATAGGAAATAAACATCTCTTCCCAGCTATAAACCTTCAGGTCTGTTGTCGTTTATTCATTTAGCTACACGTTGATGACACGAGTATTAATTACTAACTCTTTTTTTGTAATGTTTTTCATCACAGGGATACATAGAAGGAAATCCTTTTAGTGTACGTAGAACAGTTAATAATTATAGGGTTCATTATGCTCATAAGATGTCCCTCGTCTCTGATGAACTATATGAGGTAATATAG